GAACTCTTAATTGATTCCCAAAATCAATTTGTTTATCTTGAAATTCCGACTCCAATGTATCGAAGCACTCTTTGATGTGATTGCCAATGCTATACGAAGACATATCTGAACCGTGACGACCGTTGTTGATTGATTCAAAATTAAGTCTTGGTTTATTGGTGTAGGAAATGGTTTATTGGTTTAATGGTTAAGAGAACGTGGGTTGGGTAGTTTCAATTAATTAGGTTATTGTAATTTGGGGATTTTCTTATCGTGGGTTATTGGGTAGTTATCTTCATCTTTTTATATTGAATTTTTTGTACTTGAATCTTTCAAGCATCTTAATAGAAATCGTAATTTCAGTTCAATTTATCTTCCTCTCAATTGATTATTTCCAACAATTGTGGTATCAGAGCAAATTCCAGGTTTCAATCCTCTTGAAGAAGACGCGATGTCGAGCAACGGGAGGAATATGCAGGCCCTTGTTCCGATTTTCAAAGGAGAGAAGTATCATCTGTGGAGTCTCAAAATGAAGATGATGTTCCGGTCGCAGGAGCTATGGGATTTGGTGGAGACTGGTTTTGAAGATCCGAATCCGGAGAAACCCGATCAACCTCTACAGGAGAAACGTAAGAAAGATGCAAAGGCTTTGTTCTTCATCCAATCGGCACTGGATGAAGATATTTTGTCCAGAATTTCGGCAGTTAACACAGCTCATGAAGCATGGGAGATCTTGAAGCAAGAGTACATGGGAGCTCAGAAGGTTATCACTGTGAAGTTAGAAACTTTGCGTCAAAAGTTTGAAACTCTTTCTATAAAGGAGAAGGAATCTATTCAAGAGTATTTGGCTAGAGTTTCTGCAATTGTGAATCAAATGAAGTCTTATGGTGAATTTCTTAGCAACGAGAGCATTGTGAGCAAGGTTTTGAGGAGTTTATCACCAAGGTTTGAGTATATTGTTCCTGCAATTATTGAGGCTAATGATCTGAGCACTTACACGTTTGATGAGATGATGAGTTCCTTGATAGCTCATGAAGATCGGATTAGCAAGAGTTCTGAAAAGGCAGAAGAGAAAGCTTTTCAAGTGAAAGGGAATTTTTCAGAGAATGGAAGATCAGAGAGTTATGGAAGCCATGGCAGAGGCAGAGGTGGATTTAATGGTCGTGGTCGTGGTTATGGTAGAGGAAGAGGTTTCTCTAATGACCAGAATCAGTACCGAGGTTCTTATGGAGATGAAAACCAACACAATGGTGGATTTAAGGATCAAAATCAGTTCAGGAACAGTATTCAGTGTAGATATTGCAAGAAGAATGGTCACAAAGAAGCAGATTTCTGGTCCAAGCAGAGAAATGAGCGTAAATCAAACTTTACTCAAAATTTTCAAGAAGAGAGTAAGTTATTTATGACTCATTCTCACAGCAATGGTTCTGAAACGCTA